GTTATCTATTCATATCCAGTGGAAAGGTCTAGACTTAGCTTTTGTCCTCTTTGTTGCCTCTGCTGCTTTATTCTTGTATTAAGGCTGTTATTCTGAGACCTCTGACTGGGGAATCTGAAGTTTTGCTGTGCTCCCAAAGTAGTGTGAACTAGGGTGAAGATCATTGAGTTCTTTCCTAATAAGAACTCAGCAAGGGCTTGACCTACTTTTAAGTCTAAGCAACATTCTTGTGAGCATGTCCTTATTGGGCAAGTAAACAGCTGCTGGACTCATATGAGCCCACTGGGAAGCTCTGCAAATTCAAAATGACAGAACTGCTGATTCTCCTTTGTTCTGGAATTTCTGCCCTGATTAATGCATTGAGAACATCAGAGTGAAGAGCTGAGAACCCATTCTTTCCCTAGGCTAGAACTATAGAGATGCAACTTAAGTCTTGCCTATGCCTAGTAGAACCACAAGGTTCTACAACAGATGTTTTACTCTTTGTAATCTAAGTTCCAATCAGTATCAATAATCAATCCCATGAAGTTCTTGGGTAATTTGAATTCACAATGTAGATAGATAGACAGAGAAATAGATAGATAGATAGATGGATAGATAGATAATAGATAGTTATATGTTATGTATGTCTGTAAATACACATATCTAGATTTACATATGTGTATGCATACACATACAGACATGAGCTATGTATAGACCAATGGAAATTTGCAATGAAAATTGAGTTTAAAAAAGTTATTTTATTTATATGTTACTCTAAATTTACAGCAAAGCATAAGAAAATATATTAGTGATTCAGGTTAACTACAAAATAATGAAGTTATAGGAAGCAAAATATTGAAATTAAAATAAAATTACTAGATATTGTACTGAAAGATAAACATTCACTGATAAAATTATTAAATGTTGTTGTTGTCATTTCAAATATTTTAGCAGCACGTACCAAAATGTTTTTTTTTTCCTTTACAACTTGAGTCCGTACTGGTAGGTGCAGACAAGTTTATGTATATATCAGTAATTTTGCATGCTCACATTCCCACACAAAGAACCGAGTTTATTTGACTGACCTGCAGTATTATCTAAAATCAGAAATGCTTTAAATGTAATAGCTTTGTCATTGAAATATTTGTTTTTCAACAAATGTCCTAAAATAATTGAAAACCAAACTTAAAAACAACACTTTCATGACCCATGATTTCTTAGGGGTCCACCAATGAACTGTAACTGATTGATGGTGGTTGTCTTTTACAGTGTGAGGATTTTAAGGCCAAATAAGAAGCACGGGTATTTAAAATCCCTTTCAGTACCATCATCCAATAGATGTGTTGGGAAATACTTAGAAATGATGAAGCCAGGTTAAGTGTTTTTTCTTCTTTCCTTCCTTGGGAAAAGTCAGTTTTGGAAGGAATTTTTGTAAGGTAATCCCTAACAGTGGCATTTCTGGATCAAAAGTTATGAATAGTTTTATACTCTTTGGGAAAATTTCAAAGTTGTTCTACAGGATGTTTAGACCAGAACATGACCCAGCCAATAGTGCATTATTGTAGCAATTTTTGGACCTCTCCAAAATTCATCATTTTTGTTTTCATATTAGTAAATCTGGTGGAAATGAGGTGGTATGTTAGAGTTGTTTAATTTTTATTTCACAATCAGTAGTGATTTTAAAGCATTTTATATTGCTGTTGATAACTTTGTTTTGATCTTCTGAAAACTGCCTGTTCATATGCTTTGATCAGTTGGATAATAAGTTGGCTTCTTCATGAATTCAAATGTTACTTATATTTTTGTGAAATTAGGCCTTTATCATCAGAGAATCTTGCTACAATTTTTGTCTAGTGTCCTGCTTTCCTTCTACTTATGGCAGCATTGATTTTGTGCAAAGCCTATTTGATTTCATGTGATCAAATTATCCACTTCACTTCTTATGAATTTCTTTCTCATGGAAAAGGGCAAAGGACCCACATGTTCAAAAATATTTATAACAGCTCTTTTGTGGTGTCAAAGAAGTGGAAATTGAGCAGATGCCCATCAATTTAGGAATGGCTGAATGAGCTGAGCTATATGACTGTGATGGAATATCATTGTGCTATAAGAAATGATGAGCAGGTGGATTTCAGAAAAAATCAAAAATGACTTACATGAACTGATGCATAGTGAAGAGAACAGAACCAGAAGAATGTCGTACACAGTTACAGTGATATTGTTCAATGAAGAAATGTGAATGACTTACCTCTTCTCAGCAATATAATGATCCAAGACAATCCCAAAGAACTAATGATGTAGCATACTATCTGCTTTCCGAGAAACTGATATTGTTTGAATAGAGACTGAAGCATGCTATTTTTCACTTCCAGGTTTTTTTCTTTTATTAGGTATTCATGTACAGAATGACTAACATGGAAATGTTTTACAGAATTGCACATCAATAACCTATATCTGATTGCTTACCACCTCAGGGGGTGAGGGTAAGGAAGAAGAAAGGGGTATAATTTGGAACTCAAATGAAAATGTTAAAATATTGAAAAGAGAGTACTTTATCCTTTATTTAGTGCTTGCTTACACAACAACCCTGTGAGGTAAGGATAGATGGCTTCATCAAATCCTGAAACATAGGTCATGCAAGTGAGGCTGAGATCATGCTACTTATGTACAAACTTTTTATTCTCACATACTTAGAAAGCAGCACAGCCTAACCCACTGCAATGGGTCCCTGACTCTAAGCCCAGGGCTCTTTTCATTTTTCCATATTTTTTTATTAATTAATGCTTAGAGCAGTGGACTTACATCCATAAGATCTTGCTCCTCATTAAAAACAAAAATATGGTCAGGGAGAGAAATTGTCTCCAGAGAGTAGAGTAGGGCAAGGATCCGTTCTATTTAAGAACTCTGGCTCCATTCAACTCAATCATCTTTTTAAATGGGAGTTTGTTTTTTGTGATTTGGCAATGTTTCTAAAAATTATTAATACTTAAAGGAGAGGTCACAGTGGGAACAATGTTGAATGTGAAGAGAGAACTGTGTTCATTGGAAACCAGAAATTTATTAGAAGATTGATTTTGAACAAAACACTCGTGTTTTTTGATTTTCATTTTTTTCCTCTGTAAAATCAGGATAATTATGCCTATAGGACTAATATAAAAAGAAACAACTTTATGAAAATAGAATTGAATGTGAGAATGGATGTTTTCTAAAAACCATAAAATACTACATAAATAGCAGCTAAATGTACACAACATTTTATTATATTAATGAAGGAAACCATCTGAATATGATTTTATCCCACCCAGAAAAGGTAAGTAAGTTATAGTCTATATTTCTAACTTCAATATCTCTCCCTTTTGACTAGAGCTTGTTGTGATTAGTTGATTTCTAAGCTACCTGACACTAGAAAATTTGAAGATCTTACTCAGAGACCGAGATTCAGTAAGGACAAAGGAAGCATTCACATGATATTTTAATAGCAATCTCGTGTTCCAGAGAAGGTTTATGATGTGCAAGCACTTGTGTTATGTAATTGTGAAGCACTATTACATGAAACAAAACCATGGATAGGAAAGCACTTGGAAAAGTAAAAAAAGCTCTTTCTTTCTCTGTCTCTGTCTTTTTGTCTACTTTTTGTCTATAGTTCTAAAGGTCTTTTCATGTGTAGGGAAATTTAGATGGCCTGGTTAGTCCCATATTTCCGCTTAGATATTAAGTGTGTTGAGCAACACATTTCTCCTATGAGATGACTAACCATCTATATTTATACAGCAAATTAAGAGCTCCCTATAACCCAAATGTATGCTGTCCATAGGAAAAAAAAATATCAATTTTGTTAAGTATTTCTTTTTAGCAAGAATTTTACAAATAATACTTTCCTTCTCCCACTTGCATTTTAGTTTCAAAGACTGTCAACTTGCCAGGGGTGAGATTAGGGCAGAGAGAGCATTGAAATATCATTTTCCTTGGTCTTTCAATATGATTTGGGATGATGTTAGGTGACTCTCTGACACATGAAACCAACAGAACTGATGTTCTGTGTTCTGTAACTAATTCTCTTACTATATTAATGAGTATTGTGTTTTATACCACAGACATTTCTGGTACAGACTTCATCTCTGCCATAGTAATTTTCATAGATTGTCATTTATCTGATCTTAGGATCTAAACCCACTCTTTATCACATTCCAGTGCTACCATGAGTTGGTGGTTACCTGGTCTTTTCCAGGCATTCTGTCTTCCAATGACTCAAAAGACCTAGATGTTGAGAGACACATATTTCCCCAGCTTACCTAAAATGCACAACCTGCCACAAAGAATTTTGCTCTGCAAGAATTTTATTTCCACTGGACATAGATTATCAGGTCAGAACCAAAAGTATCTGCCTAACCAGATCTGAATGTACAAATGAAGAAAGAATAGAATGAATTGAGTAGAAAATTATGTCATTCACTGATGTTTATGTTTTCATTTAAAAATATTTGACATCAAAATCTTTTTTGTAGTATCAATAAATTATGCTTTCTACATCAATTCTAACTTCTAAGGTTCCTTATTGAGGCTAGAACAAGCAAAATGAATTTTTGAAGTAGGGGTTGGTTTTGTACTTCCTCAATAATATTGACTGCAATGATACAGTCAGGATTTTTAGAGCTAGAAATGATCTCATAACTCAAAATATGAAAAAGAGAATTTAGAAGGGATATTTAACATTGAATATAACATGTTCCACAAATTAAAAATCTTTAAATATATATCATAGATCATCAGTACAGAAAACCAGGATTTTGAAAAAAAATATTATTTCAAATATAGGACAAAAAGTACAATCTAGCATGTAATATATATTTATGATTTCATAACATAAAATGTCCAAATTGAATATTTAGAAAAATAATAATCTTAAAGTTATCTTAGTCATTATCTAATCTAACCTGTCTACTTTTCTTTTCAGAAACCATGTCCTAGTGAGAAACAAACAACTTTCCTATTATGAATTACTAATTTCAAAGTTATAATATACAGAAAAAATGACAGACAAAAATCTTACTGTCATGGAAGAATTTATTCTCTTAGGATTTTCTGAACTTCCCAACTTTCAAGGGCTTCTTTTTATTACTTTTTTAGTCATTTATATAAGTATCCTGTTAGGAAATGGTCTCATCATTGTAATCACCAATATGGAACCTGCTCTCCAAATACCCATGTATTACTTCCTTGGGAACTTCTCCTTTGTGGAAATTTGTTACACATCAGTCACTCTACCCAGAATGCTTATGAATCTTTGGAGACAGAAAAGAAATATTTCTTTACTGTCATGTGCTGTGCAACTGTGTTTCTTCCTTATTCTGGCAGCCACAGAGAGCTTCCTCCTGGCAGTGATGGCCTATGATCGCTATGTGGCAATCTGTAAGCCCCTCTCTTATCCTCTAATCATGAACCGCAAGATGTGTGTCCAGATGGTGATTGGCTCCTGGGTCACTGGAATTCCAGTCTTCATAGGGCAGACATACCAGGTTTTCTCTGTACCCTTCTGTGGTTCTAACAAACTCAATCATGTTTTCTGTGACATGCCCCCACTATTGAAGTTGGCATGTGGAGACACTTCTGGGAATGAATTCTTTATTTATATTGATTGTTTCCTGTTTGCTTTGATTCCCTTTCTATTGATACTCTTCTCTTACATCAGAATCCTCAGCACTATTTTGAAGCTCCCATCAACCACTGGCAGATCCAAAGCCTTCTCTACTTGCTCTTCTCATCTTATTGTCGTATGCTTATTCTACGGTTCGGGTTCCATTGCATATCTGCAATCCAAGTCCAGTTACTCAGGCAGAACAGATAAGATCTTCTCCCTATTCTATATCACTGTGACCCCAGTGGTTAATCCTATGATATATACTCTGAGGAACAAGGACTTCATTGAGGCAATGAGAAAACTATTTTCTAAATGTATAGGGTAAAGAATAAAATAATTTAACTTGCATATTATTGTATCCTGAGGTATTTCACAAGTTTTTCTTCCTTTTTTCTCTTCTATATGCCTTTCAAACTCTTAACGTTTTCTCTTTGTTATATTAAATCATTTGGCATTCCTTTTCTCAATCCCTCCATGATATAACATATTGTTTTTATGTGTAATCAGAGAACAAACTTATTTTTGTTGTCATTGTGGTTGTTGTTTTCACACAATATTAATTATGGGCTACCTTTCCACCAAAAGTGTGAGGTTATGGAAGCAAACTGATGCATTGGATTCAACACCAGCCTTGGAATCAGGGGGACCTAAGTTCAAATGCAGCCTCAAACACTTATCAGCTGTATGACTCTGGGCAACTCACTTAATCCTGAATGCTTCCAAAAAAGAGTGTCAGGTCACCCTGACACCACTACCTCAATAATCCAGACCAAATTCATGAAGTATCTATAACAGGAACTTATATGATGACAATAAAAATATCTTCAAGGACAATGATTACAACTACAAGCTGAGGCTATTGAGAGATTTTACTTAAGTATGTCAGAAAGCTTCCTGTCCTATCTACATATTTTACTTAATGTTTCTAGATTGAAATGAGAATATTATCAGTTTTCTTTAACCTGAAATGTTGACTGTGGTTAATTAAGCTATGGGATGTGTGATTAGTTTGCATTGCACTAACTTCCTTGTTCATTGGAGATATACTCATTCACTAATAAATGTGACCTCTTTTATTGTTGTCCTTATATTGGGGGGTACACATAGCTGGATTTGGGAACTAGGAACTTTATCTCATTTCATTGCAGTGCTCACAAGATTCACCGATAAATTGAATCATTTTGTCAATATTATTCAAATGAACCACTGCACATCTGTTTGTTTACTTTTTAGCTAAAACACTGAGAAGGGAAAATATATTGTTTTTCTAAACAGTAGGTTATGGAAAAGTGTCTTTTCTATCTTTGTTTTGGTCAAATTGCTCTGTGTGTGTGTGTGTGTGTGTGTGTGTGTGTGTGTGTGTATTTAATAAATATAATATTGGCGCAAGATGATCTAAACCTTGGTCAGAAGTTTGCAAATGTCAGAACAGAAAGGCCTTTAGCACAGTTTTTCTTTGATCATAGCATTCAGGAGCTAGACTACGCTGAAAGTTTGCAAATTCCAAGCTTAATCCACCCCCTGAAAATCTTGAAAAAAACCAGAACCCCGAGAATAAAAAATAAGAAAAACAAAAACCAAAACAAACAAACAAACAAAACAACAACAGCAAGTATTCTTTCCGAAAGTATGCAGAGCCTGACCCAGATAAAAAGTAAAAATATAGAAGACATTCTTGAAAAATGAGTTGACTAAAAAATTTCTAAAAAAAGACAAAACTTGCATGACCTAGGACTTATCTCACTGATCCCCAAAGGAAAATAAAAACAGAAGAAAGTGACATTAAAATACATTAAGTAAAGCCCTAAGAGGAAAAGAAATGTTGACCTCAAGTTCAAATAAATTTCCTAGAATAAATGACACAAGCAAAAACATTTTTGAAACAAAAATTAAAATATAACAACACTGTAAAAAACAACCAATATTTTTGAAATGTATAATCAATTCTTAATAAAAGGGAACAGGAATGGTTACCCATAAAATGTGCAGAGACAAAAGATTTTGGATAAATGACAATATAGGCAATTGTTTTGATTCACTATAGCAATTTTAAAAAATTCTTTTGTTTTCAATGTCAGGAGTGTTGATAAGATGAGAGGGAAAATATTATTAGTTGAGAAATTTTGAATTAAAATATATTTTAATAAAATATAAATTTAAGGCAATTCAAATTTTGAGAAAATTTTAATTTAAATCATATTAATTATAATTTAATTTATATTTAAAACTTAATTTCAAAATTTCAAGTGAAACAAAAGTTTTAAGAAAAAATCAAATGATTTTATGAATAAAATATGAATACTAGAAGAACAAATTAGAAAAGTAAATGAAGCTTTGGATGAAATACTGGAAAGATGAATTAAATATTTTGTATGAAAGTTACAAAATTTTATGAAAATAATAAACTCCTTCCAAAATATAATGGGGAAAAGATAAGCAACTGGATTTGTGAGAAACTAAGATACATTACCAATAAAGACAAATACAGGAAAAATAACATAATGAATGTCATTTCAGGCACAAAATTGTGAATTGAAAAGAAGATAAAAGATAGAGAATTTAAGAATTATTAAATTACACAATAAATAGGACAAAAATGAGCCAGTGTATAATATTTTCTGAAATCAGGAAAATAAAATCCCAAGAAGTAATAGAAAAAAAATAAGCTGACAAAACAAAATACAAGAATTTTGGACATACCTTTAAAGTAGTACTCAATAGTACTCAAAAATCCCTAAAATATTATTAGATTAGAAAAGATAAATAATGAAGGAAATATGTATTCAGAAATTTAGGTAGTCAAAGCCTTTTTTTGTTTGAAAATAGAATTAGTTGACATATTGAAAAATAGAGGAAGAATACAGAAAACTGGTGTATATATCTTGTATTTAACAAAGCACTGGATAAACTATTTCATAACATTTTGAAGATATGGGGAATGGGTTAGCAAATGACAGATGTATTGAGAAATGATTGGATGATATTTTTAGATCATATTTATAAGCTCCTTGAACGTAAGATGGTGATGTCCTTTGCTTTCACCTGCAGAGGCAAACTAGTTTGGACTTATTAAACTCTTCTGATTTGTTCAGACCAGACCACTCATACAAATTGTAAAGCACAGCAACCCTTGACCTCACTCACAGAAAGGACTTGCCTAATATAGCTCAAAGACTGTCATTAGATACCTCTCTTGCAAAGTGATGTTGTTGTCATAATTTAATATCTATATCTATATCTATATCTATATCTATATCTATATCTATATGTGTGTGTTTACCCTGCATGCCATAAAGTTGTTTCTATACTTTAACACACTGTATGTTAAAATGAAATGAACAAAGCAAAACAAAGCAAAACTCAGTGACACGTATAAAAATAATAAATTCTTTGCTAGGACACCTCACTCCATCCTTCGAACAAAAAGAGAAATATAGCAGTGAATGCATAATTAAAATTGTTTTATGATTTTACATCATGACTATGATAGGAAAGAAGATCATCTGACTCTTTAAAGTCTTATTTCCTCAGACTTTAGGTACAACATAGATTTGATATGACTAATAACTTCTGATGCTGACAATATGTATAAGCCTAGTGTTGACCAGATAGATAGCTAGATAAATAGATGGATAGATAGATAGATAGATAGATAGATAGATAGATAGATAGATAGATAGATAGAGATAGATAGATAGATAGAATATGAATCTATTAATAAATGGATACAGCTATATTGACATCTAGATGGAGATATTTTACAAAAGCTTGTGAACTAAAATCCAAGGTTCATGACTAGAATTGAAGTAAAAATGAAGTACATCATGCCTTTGACTTCTTGCTGGTGACAGCGTATTGCCTTAGGAAAGGTTGCTAGGGGTCACTCTGGGTCTTCCATTTACCTCAAAACAACCACTTCCACCCAATGGCACTAGCCCACAAGCAACTTCCATCTCCAGCTGCCAGTCCGAACTCCCAGGTGAGATGTCGAGACTCTCTGGTGTAAAGAACATCCTCCCTTTGACTTCAAGTTTCTCATCTCCTGCTGTACCTGTACTTTGATGGTAGAAGAGTGATGACCTCCACTCAGTAATGAACATTCTCACACTTGGTCATGACCTTCACATACCATGGACTCTGACCTCCTGTATGTCATCCAAATTCCATTCCACACCCCCTACTACCCAATTGCACATTTCATTCCCACTCCACCCTGACACCCGACCACAACTGCTCTCTAAAAAGCTACTAATGTTCCCTTAGTTGCCAAATCCAGTGACCCATTCTCAAACCTCATTCTCTTTAACATCTTTGCAGACTTTGATGCAACTGATCACTGTCTTTTCCTTGATATTCTCATCCCTCTAGATTTTTCGGATATCACTCCCTCCTGCTTCTCCTCTAACTATCTGACTGCTTTTTCTCTATATCTTTTGCTGTATCCTTTTCCAGATCATGTCTTCTAAGTGTAGGTATCCCTCATTATCTTGTTTTAGGTCAACTTCTCTTCTCCTACTACTTCACTCTATGATCTCATCAGCTGTGATGTATTTAATTGCTATCTCTGTGCTCATGATTCTCAAATACACCTGCCTGCCCCAAACTCTCTGCTAACCTCAAATCTCATACCTGCAATAGCCTTTCAAACATTTCTAATTGGTTGTCCAGAAGACATCTTAAACTCACTATGTCCAAAATAGAACTCATTATCCTTTCCCATAACCCCCCACACATCCTATTACTGTAGAGGACAACACCATCCTACCAGTCCCTCAGGCTTGTAACCTAAGAATCATCTTAGCATTTTCACTACATCTCACCCCTCATATTTAATCCATTGTCAAGGCCTGTTGATTTTCTCCTCCCAAAATCTCTCATATATGCCTTTTCTCTCTTCTGATGCTGTCACCACTATAATGTTGACCCTCAGCTCATACCTGGATTTTTTAAATAGACTACTCTGCCTGCCTCATGTCTCTCCTCATTCTGATTCATCCTCCATTCAGCCACTAAAGTGATTTTCCTAAAGCATAGGTCAGTTCATGTCTCCCTCTGCCCCCCCAAAACCTCCAATGGTTTCCTAATGCCTCCAGGAATGAATACAAAATAATGTTTGGCTTCAAAATTCTTTATAACCTAACACCCTCCTGTTTTTCCAGTCTTTTTTATACTTTACTCCCTAATACATATTCTTTGATACAGTAGCACTGGCCTTCTGAGTCTTTCATGAACAAAACACTCCATCTCTTTAATAAAGGCATTTTTTCTACCTATCTCTTGTACTTGAAACTCTTTCCTTCCTCTGCTCCAACTACTTACGTCCTTGACTTCTTTTAAATACCAACTAAAACCAGCTTCTACAAGAAGACTCCTCCAACTTCTCTTAATTCTAGAGTCTTCTCTCTGTTAATTATTTCACATTTAAAATGTGTATAACTTTTTCATATATATACATATATGCATATTATTTCATATATATATGTATATATGCATAATATCTTCCTCATTGGATTGTAAGCAAAGTTTGAAGAGATGCAGGATTCTTGATTCAGCAAGAAAGTAGATGAAATTCAGTTTTATGTTGATAGTAAGAATCCAAAGAATGTTTAAAGTGACCTGAAGGCTATTTATGGGACAAATACCACACTTCTACCTTTTGTATTACTGTATAGAACAACACCATCCTACCAGTCCCTCAGGCTTGTAACCTGAGTCATCTTAGGATTTTCACTACCTCTCACCCCTCATATTTAATCCAATGTCAAGGCCTGTTGATTTTCTTTTTGCAACATCTCTCATATATGTCCTATTCTCTCTTCTGACACTGCCACCACTCTAGTACTGGCCCTCAACTCATACCTGGATTGTTGATATAGATTACTCTGCCTGCCTCAAGTCTCTCCCCATTCTAATTCCTTCTCCATTCAGCCACTGAAGTGATTATCCTAAAACATAGATCAGTTCATGTCTCCCTCTGCCCCCCCCCAAAAGACTCCAATGGTTGCCTATTGCCTCCAGGAATAAATACAAAATACTGTCTGGCTTCAAAGTCCTTCACAACCTAACACCCTCTTGTGTTTCCAGCCTTTTTTATATTTTACTCCCTAATACATATTCTTTGATAGATTAGCACTGGCCTCCTGACTCTTTCATGAACAAAACACTCCATCTCTTTGATAAAGGCATTTTTTCTGGCTGTCTCTTGCTCTTGAAACACTTTCCTTCCTCTGCTCCAACTACTTACTTACCTCTTGCCTTCTTTTAAGTACCAACTAAAACCACCTTTTATAAGAAGCCTCCTCCAACTTCTCTTAATTCTAGTGTCTTCTCTCTGTTAATTATTTCCCATTTATAATGTGTATAACTTATTCATATACATACATACATATATATGCATACATACATACATACATGTGTATATATATATATATATATATATATATATATATATATATATGCACATTATCTTCCTCATTGGATTGTAAGCAAAGTTTAAAGAGATGCAGGATTCTTGGCTCATTAAGAAGGCAGATGAAATTCAGTTTTATGCTGATAGTAAGAATCCAAAGAATGTTTAAAATTCCTTGAAGGCTATTTATGGGCCAAAAACCTTTGATGCAGCTCAACTACTTGGTGCTGATCAAGCCACATATGTCACTGAGAAGGCCAAGATCCTGTCAGATAGGCTGGACCCTTCTGTAGTGTTCTCAACAGACTGTCATCAACCAATGCTGAAGCTATTGAGCTATACCTCAGGTTGAACTCAATCCCTTTCTTGATGAATTTCCAACTGCAGAACAGGTTTTGAATGTCATTAGGCATCTCTAGTGTGGCAAAGTGCCTAGGCTGATTCCATTACAACAGAGATCTGCAAGGCAGGAGTCAATTGATCACACAAAAGCTGATAGAAATCTTCTGGGTTATATGGGAAGAGGAGGTTACCTCTCAGTAGATCAAAATGTCTCCATTGCCCTTCTACATAAAGGAAAAGGAAATAGGTTTTCCTGTGACAACTACAGTGTGTGTGTGTGGGGGGGTTGCTTCTCTTTTATTCATTGCCAGCATGTCCTCCTTAATTGATTGATCCACCACCTGGAAGATGATCATGTACCCAAAAGCCAATGTGGCTTCAGAAAGTCTCAGGAATTGTTTACATAATGTTTGCTGCCCAACAACTCGAAGAGAAATGTGAGAAGCAGAACAGATGTATGTATACAAAATTGGTCAATCAAACTTGATGTTGTGAGTTGTGACAGTTTCTGGAAGATCATGGAGAAATTTGGTTTTCCAGAGAAGTGCATCACTATTGTATGTTACTTCCACACCAGAATGATTGCATAGGTTCTATATAATGGACACTGCTCTTACAATTGAACAGTCGTCAATGGAGTGAAGAAGGGTTGCATACTTGTATCCATACTTTTAGCATTATGTTTTCAGTGATGTTGTCAGATGACTTCAATGAGGATGAAAATGGCATCAAAGTCAGCTACCACACAGATGGTACATTATCTAACTTGAAAAGACTACAAGTCAAGATTAAAGTGGAAGTAGAGTTGGTACATGACTTTTTTGTTCAAAGATGATTGTGAAATACAGCCTCTGAGGCTGAGATGCAACAAAGTATGGACCAATTCTCTGCTGCTTGTTATAATTTTGTCCTACCAAGAAAACAGACATTCTCCACCAGCCAACTTTACACCATATGTGGAACCATTGGTTATATCAAATGGAGGAATTTTGAATGTTGTGGATAAGTTCACTTACTTTGTCAGTTTACCTTCCAGGATGTACACACAGATGATGAGGTTGACTCACACATTGCTGGAGTTAACTCAACATTTGGGAGGCTTTGAAGGAATCTGTGGAAAAGAAGAACTATTAGGCTCCCTACCAAGCTGAAGGTCAACAGAGTCATTGTGCTGACCTCATCGTTGTGTGCCTATGAAACCTCGAAAGTCTTCCAGCACCATGCCAGAAAAATAAACTATATCCATTTGAATTGTTTTAAGACAATTCTGAAGATCACCTACCAGATAAGGTAGCAGACACTGAGGTTTTTCTTAAACTAAACTGCCAAACATAAAAACCCAAATTGCAGAGAGCACAATTCCTATGGGCTGACCATTTTATTTATATGCCAAATGTACATTTACCTAAAAAACTCTTTTAGGGAAAACTCACACAGAGTAGGCATTCATGTTGGGGTCAGCAGGAGTGATACAAGTACACTCTCAAGGTGTCTGAAGAAGTTTGGTATTAATGGTGAGAAATGAGAGACACTGTCATAGAATCATATAGCATGGTATGCCCACATCAAAGAAGATGTTCCATTAACAAAGATTTACTCTATTAGCAAAACAAAATTTCACCAGCTCCAAAGAAACATGTGATGGACAAATGTTGAGACATCTCCTTTCCAAACGGTCATACAGACTATTTGTGCCTGACCTGTGGTAGAGCCTTCTGAGCTCTACTGGTATGATCAGCCATAGCCAGACGCACTGCACATTGCCACTGACATCATGATGCCATTTTGCTCTGTTTCAAGGAAAAATGACAAACAACAATTGTTTGTAAGTTCTTTAAAGGAAGGAATTATTTTTTTGCCTCTTTTTGTATCTACAAACAGCACTATGCCTGACATATAGTAGGGACTTAATACGTGTTGATTGATTAATTGAATTAGATCTTCATAAAAAGTACACTTCTAACCAGGAATATTCTAAAAGCTTCCTTAAATGACTCATAAGATGGACAAATGCAGGGGCAGAGCCAAGATGGCAGAGGGAAAGCAGTGACTTGCTTAGCCTCTCCTCCCAAACCCCTCCAAATACCTACAAAAAATGGCTCCAAACAAAATCTAAAGCAGCGGAACCCACAAGAAGACAGAGTGAAACAAATTTCCAGCCAAAGATAGCCTGGATGATTGATTGGAAAGGTATATTGTGCCATTTGGGGAGAGGAGCGCAGTTCATC